CATGTGGCTTCCTTTGACCAACTGCTTCTTAGCCCTGGGAAACATGTCGTCACCCCTCAGACGCCCTCGATGTCCAGGGCAGCACCTGACACCTCTTCCTCTTCCTTCATAGCACTTACACAAGGGAATGATCATTTATGTAAATAATTGGCTTGCCCAAGTAGAACGAAGCCACTTGAGGCTAACTGGTTACTAAATCACTGTGGCCCCAGCATTTACAACAGTGTTCAATACTTAGATGACGCCCCAGAAAACACCAGCATAAATGAACAGCAGGTCTGGAAGAGCCCCAGGTCTGCTCATCCGTCCTAAGCCCTGTGTTCTGCTGCCTCTGGTCTCTCATCTGCTGCCTCTGGTCTCTCACCTGCTGCCTCTGGTCTCTCACCTCCCTCCCTGCTGTTCAGCCACCCAGCATGCCCTCCTGCTGCTGCTGTCCACCAAGAGAAGCCTTTCAAAGGAGCATCTCTTATCTGAAGCTGCTGGGGTACCACTGAGGATCACAATAGCAAGCACATGGTGTCCCCTCATTTGTCTTCTGTCTGGACGGTCCAGCTGCTTAAAACACTGTCAGTGCCCTGTCATCTGGGCTCCAAAAATAACCCCAGTGGGAGACAAATGACGTGACCTTGGATGCTGGCTTTGCCATGGACAGTCTACCGGTGGGAGGATTTTGTCCATTGAGAGTTTTCCCTTAAGACACGGAGATGTGGCTGGAAGCCATGTTGTCCTCAGCCTGTCTGTACTCTGAGGTTGGACAATCTTAGCCTCTCCACTGTCTCCTCTTAAGCTTGCGTTTTCCAGAAGACTCCTACACTTGTAGCAGGCAGACAGTACGGGCCCTCCAGGTGTTCTGACACTTACATGCTCCTGTGCATTAGCTGCCTTTGAAGGGCAGTATCCTAACACTTGATTCACTCTGTACTTTTGGACAATGTGCCTTTCTACATCCCTAGATCTTATACTTTTTCAAAAGAATGTTCCTTTTTCTCTCCCCCTTCCCCCCCCCTCACCCACCAGCTCAGGCCTCGCATATAACAATTGTTTAATATTTGTTGTCTGGCTTCAGTGGAGAAATGGTTATCAAGGGGGAAAATTTTCCACATGGACCCGAGGGTCTGGTTGAAGCTCAGGAGGAAACATGGGAAGGGGTGGGCGAGGATCAGAGGGGGCAGCCTTTCTTCCCGACAGTTTCTCAGAGTGTTTTTCTCATTCCCTTTATTACTGGGGATGAAAAGGAAGGAAGAAGGTGGTGGGTCTGTGCCTTACAGGGCTCCGGCAAAAATCGATACTTTCTGTTTACAGATTATTTCCTTTCCATTTCTGTAGAGTTCTTACAAAGGAAAAAAAGAAAGTAAAGAGAGTAATAACCCAAGACTCACAGCTGGGGAGAAGTCAATGTGAATTAAGTGAATTTGTTGACCAGGTGTTTGGACTAGCTAACACCGGTCTATTTTCCCCAATACCAGTTTCTTTTTTAACTTTGCTTATGTGATCTCCCATTTTTTGACTAAACAAAACAAGACAAACAAACAAACGGAAAAAAACAAAGCCAGCCCACTTGTCTGGAATGGTAGCTATTTTAGGGTTGAGCTGCATGTTCACATGGGGTCCCACGGCCCCCGGTAGATGGTAGCTTACCACCATGATGCAAGAAGTCTTCCACTTCTTCAGAAACACAAAGTCTATTTTTACAGTTCCCTCTCCCTGTGCAGAAAGCAAAAGCCCAGAAGGAGTGTGTTAAGAAAGTATGGATTTATGCACCAGGCACACTCCCTCCTGGGGTGCACAGAGCACTTCCTTCTCCATGGTTCTGCACGTGGCATGGGTGGTGGAAGCTTCTTTAACTTGGGCTTGGCTTGAGTTCTCTAATTAGAGCGTCCTCTTTGCCTCCTTGACCCAAAGGACGTCAAAGAAGGGTCACATTGAAGGCTCGATGGTTTGAGTTCCTGTATAGTAGAAAAAAAAAATTCATTTCTCCCTCCTCTTTTCCTGTCCTTCATTTCCTGAAGGTTAAAACCAAACTTATTTTTCTTCTGCTGCCTGTAGTGGTCTTTCTCAATGGGGTGTGTGTATGTGTGTGTGTCCACATGCATGTTTGTGGGGTGGGGGATGTGCATGTACATGTATTCGTATCTATGTGGAGGCCAGAGGTCAGTATTAGGTGTCTTCTTCGGTCACTGCTTGCCTTAATTTTTGATACACGTCAGTGAGCCTGAAGTTTCATCAATTAAGCTAGAGGGGGGTCCAGGATCACCATGTCTCTGCTGTCCCAGCACAGGGGTTTGTAGATGTAACCAACCGTCTTATTAAATAAGAAACACAGCTTTGCGCAGTGGCAGTATCGTAGCCAATGAGGTTTATCCGAGGCGCGATTATTGCTAATTAAATAAGAAACACAGAACCAATGTAAAAGAGAAAGCCAAGAGGTCAGAGCTTGGAGCTAAAATCTTACCCTTCCTCCTGTGGTGTTCCTACCTCTCCAAAAGAGACCTACTTCCTGTGTGTTTGTCTTTAATATAGTCTTTCTGTTCTGCCTTCTCATTGGTTGTAAACCCAAACACATGACTGCCTCATCACTGCCTGTAAGTACAGCCCTCCAGGTCTTAAAGGTGTGTGTCTCCAATGCTGGCTGTATCCCTGAACACACAGAGATCTACCTAGCTCTTCTACCAAGTGCTGGGATTAAAGGCGTGTGCCACCATTGCTAGGCTCTTGCTATGGCTCTAATAGCTCAGACCCCTGGGCAACTTTATTTATTAACATACAATTAAAGCCACATTTCAGTACAAATAAAATACTGCCATAGGGGTTACAGGCACCTGCTGCCATACCCAGCTTTCTACATGGATTCTTGGGTTCCAAACTCTGATCTTCATGCTTGCACAGAAACTCTTCACTGAGATATTTCTCCAACTTCTCACTGAGATGTTTTTGGTGATCGATCAGAAGCTGAGCCTATTTCTAAAAAAGAAAGGGGGGGGCAGGCAATTTTTGACAAGTTTTTTTGTTTTTTTTTTTTTTTTT